ATATAAAGTGATTAGGGAGGAAAATCCATCTGGAAAACAGCAGACTGACCTGCTCGTAAAATATACGACAGGTCTGGACCACACGTGAATTTTGTTCGTATCTGAAAAAAATCTTAGAATACGAAAACATTGGTGAATGCCACAAATTCTCTTAAATCACTCGTACRCACAATTTAAGAACAAATCTGTGCGTACGAACGGTTCTTGCACGAGGCCCATTGCATCGATGATGATTAACACTTTAATTAAATTTTAATTGGTCGATATGCTGTGCTGTTTTTTTCTATTATTAATAAAATCATTATATAAACGTCTGATTAGAAACTGTTAGAAACATGCAGTCATTCTGATTGGTCACCTGTTGTTAACTCCACCCACTTTACACAAACACACATAATCCATGTAAAAAAAAAGCTTAGTCAAAAATCTAATGAAGTGGAATTAGATCAACATAAAACATTAGTTATCATGCTTTTATTAACATGTAATAGACAGAAATAAACTGATCTGATCAGCTCTTTATAGTATTATCAGAATAATCAGATCAGATGTTTGCTGTAAAATAATCTAAAGGCTGAGCTCCTTACAGCAGCAGATAACAGCTCAGCCTGAAATACAGTCTATATATTTACATCATAAAACAGGATGATGTAACAGATCCAATCATCTGCTGCAGCTCGAATGTAGGACATCCACTGTCCCTCCTCTGGACATGTCTGACTCAATATACCCACTGTCCCTCCTCTGGACACGTCTGACTCAATATACCCACTGTCCCTCCTCTGGACACATCTGACTCAATATACCCACTGTCCCTCCTCTGGACACGTCTGACTCAATATAACCACTGTCCCTCCTCTGGACACGTCTGACCAATAATCCACTGTCCCTCCTCTGGACACGTCTGACCAATAATCCACTGTCCCTCCTCTGGACACGTATGACTCAATATACCCACTGTCCCTCCTCTGGACACGTCTGACCAATAATCCACTGTCCCTCCTCTGGACACGTCTGACCAATAATCCACTGTCCCTCCTCTGGACACGTCTGACCAATAATCCACTGTCCCTCCTCTGGACACGTATGAATCAATATACCCACTGTCCCTCCTCTGGACATGTCTGACTCAATATACCCACTGTCCCTCCTCTGGACATGTCTGACTCAATATACCCACTGTCCCTCCTCTGGACACGTCTGACCAATAATCCACTGTCCCTCCTCTGGGCACGACTAAACCAATTTACCCACTGTTCCTTCTTTGTACATGTCCAAATCATCTTAGTCTGGTCTAACTTCATCTCCCAGTCCTTCAACCTCAGCTGTACCTGTAAATAAAACTGTAATGGTTTTTTTTTGGTTCTGTAAATCCTCATTAAAAATTTTCTGTCTTGTCCAAGTYTTTTATCAAAACATGATTAAAGTAAATTTTAAATTACAACTGTGATGCTCTCATTCCTAATCTTCCTCATCTTTGTCTCTCCCAAGGAGAACGTTTACATCTTCAACTTTGACACCTCTAGTTCTGTCTCCTGTCTTTCTGTCCATGTCCCTGTCTCCAAACCTTACCACCCTTTCATCACAAATCACTCCCGAACCTTTCCTCCATCCTGCCTGGACTCTTCTTCTCCTCTTCGCCACACTTCCTGTTATTTCTGTAATATCAGGGATTTTATCAGTAAACTATCAAAATGTCCTGAAATGTCCACAGTAAGTAGATTTAAGAGATGACATAAAGTGACACCACCTGTGTGTTCTTGTTTTCTACTGGCTGACTGAGGATTTCACACCCACCCACAGCTGCACACATGGGACTATTATCGAATGTAGCTACGAACAGGTGTGTGTATAGAGCCAGCCAAGGAAGAACAGTTGTTTATAACAGCTTTGCTTGCCCACACACACACACACACACACACACACACACACACACAGTCTTGTCTCAACAGATCAAGTACAGGAGGAGGAAGCAGCCCTCTGCTCAGGCAGAATAAAGTCTAAAAATAAATTGTTGCAGTTAGTTTACAGTTCATTTGTATATTTAAATTTACCTTTTGTGCTGGAAGTGTTACAACAAGCTGCTGCTGCCACCACTAATTTATAATGTGTGTGTGAGCGTGCGTGCGTGCGTGCGTGCGTGCGTGTATTGCAATTCATAACCACGTCTCAAAAACAACTGTGGAGTGAAAAGTCTATAAAATAATGTACCAGCTTTTTAACTTGTCCCGTCAGAATTAAGGACTCAAACTGAAAGACCTTTCTTGTGTTCTGCTGGTTTGGGTTCATCATGAGACCCATGAGACTGACTGGTGTGAATTAATCAGCTGTAACTGGTGAACAGTCTTTCTCTCAGGATGACCAGACAGTTTGTAAATGAGACTGAGACTGAATGAGAGAGGATGTCTTTATAACACACCTACATCCTTACAGGTAACACTGATGAGTTCTATCTGGATGTCAAATTAAAAGTATTTAGGATTTTTTTCTTCAAATTTCTCTTGCATTTAGGCTTAGTTTGAGTTAAATAACAATAATATTATTTACTGTGTGCTGTTTTTATTTGCTTGGAGTTTATGTCTTTATAGCGAAAACAGGAACATTAATTATGAATCATAAATCCTGCATCACGCCAGACTCCCGTCCCCAGTTCGCCATTTTAACATTTCTTTGCTTTTGTGTAAATGAAACTTTATTTATGACCCACTGTGAGTAAAAACACAAATAAAGACCTTTCGATCTTTCATTCGGCACACACACAATAAAACAATGTCAGGAAAATACAGAAATGTCAACTTTTAAATCTGACTTAAATCGGTCATTCCTGTGCTCAGTAAAAGTTATTTATAGTAAAAAAAAATAAATAGATAGATAAATAAAACAAATGTTGACATTAATAGCTGTTCTGACATACAGTGGGTCAGTTTTTTGAATAAATTCATTTTTTCTCTCTTCAAAAACATAACGGGTTGTGGTTTCGACTCATTCCATCACTCCTTCCTCACCAAACCGCCCACTCCTCTCTCCCGGCTGCTGACATTCACCTCAGCCCAACATTTAACTCATCCACTCTCTGGTTCGGTTCGGCATCAGTCGGTACCTGCACATAGTTGGTCTCACAGTACTCCGCGACTCTTTCCAGGTTGGTAAAACTGTCCAGAAGAGCTCTCCGTCCCGCAGGAATCTCATCTTCCAACAGCATCTGCAGCTCCGCCATCTTTACATGTTTCACTACTAACCGCTCGTGCTGCCTGCACGGGTCCCGCTACCTTCACGGGCCGTGGGAAATATCATCACCAGGACAAGCTTGGTCCTGCTGCCTTTATGTGCTGTGGGAAATATCATAACTAACCTAGTGGACCTTGTTCGTCAGTCTTCTCATTTATTTGTACAAATAAAAGTACAAAAAAATACAAAAGTATAAAACTCTGTGTGTACATATCATGTTGCACATCTTTTTATGTTGAGCTCTTCTGTGAACTTTGTGACTTGAGCCACAGTGTATTTGGCTGAAAGAAGTAAAAATACAATAATATTACTGCAGAATTTCATTCCCCAACAAGACTTTAAACTATAAACTGTGTAGAAATTATTTTCCAGCTGTTAAAACAAAAACAACTTTATGTACACAGTCCTTTATTTATATAAAATCACACTCATGAGAATAAATACAGGTAACATATTATTACTTGTACAACATTTTAAATAGAATAAACATTTTAAAAAACATAATGCAGACAGGCTGGTTTCAAGCAGGAAGGTCCAGGTTCTCCTCTCCTCTGGGGTATCCCTCCACCTCCATGGTCATCAAAAACTCTGCTCAGGAAAAATAAAAATGATCTTGTGTGTTTACAGACTACACCTGGCTCTGGTACCCTCTAGTGGTTATATTAAATGTTACGTATACGTCAGCAGTTTACACCATAATAACTGACATGTTTAGAGTAAAACTGGGTGCATTTAACAGTGACAATTTTAGACTTTTAATTGTAAATTTAAAAGTTATAATTGCATAAAAAAGAGGACACTTTAATAAATCTCATTTATTTCACTGAATAACACTGCTTTACAACAGACATTCAGGCCTACCTTCTGTGTAGTCAATGTCTGGCCTCGTGGACACCACAGCCCAGGCCACGCCCACTAACAGCGCCACCACCAGGTTGACCACGATCCACGGACGCAGGACCTGGTGCTCTGACCCTGGAGGCCTGTAGGAGGGGAGGTGGTTTAATTACAGTCATTGTTCCCTGAAACCTAAAATAATATATTTTTATTCTTCAGACTTTGATCCTCTGAATCGGAGATAAAGGTCCAAACATGATGGTGCTCACCACAGAGTCTGGTTGGCAGTGGGGTAGAGGTTGATGCGATCACTAGTCATCTGCTGGCTGAGGGACAGGATCAGGGCTATAAAATACACTGAGCACAAACAGAGATGCTGTTCATCATAATCATCATCATTCCCTTCATGCGTTCATCTTGCTCCACTTACAGAAGGAAGCCACAGCTACAGGGTCCAGAGTCAGGAAGCCTCTCAGCGCCATGGAGGTCTTAGCCAGGTTCACTCTGCAGGTGACACCAAACTCATTCATTTTATAACGTCTCAGTCTGCTATCTGCATCAAATGTTTATCTACACTTTCATCCCTGAAGTGAAAATAATATTAAGTTGAAAATCACAGAAGCTGTAAGAACCCAGAGGTGCTGGTCAGACCTGTCAAAGGCAGACACAGTGCTGATGGCCAGCAGCAGGTAGAGCAGAGACTGGGCTGGGTAGGCCAGAGGATGGTACTGCTGCAACAGGTTGTGCAGCGTTGTCATCTCTTCACCCGCCAACACATACACAACAGTTATATTCCACACCGCGTAGCCGGCCAGGAAGCCATGAGAAAACAGACCGATCACTCTATCAGAGAAAAACACAGAATTAAATACACGACTGGCTTTTTACTCTCAGATTACCTGATTTTGGTCTACTTGTAAACAGCAGTGTGGGAGATTCTTTTAAATCCATTTCATCATATTATACCTGCTCAGCTGGGGTCCCTGAAGGTGCTTTAATAGGGTCTATTTCTTTATCTTTATGTTAATGATTTACCAATTGTTTGTTCAAGTGAAAGTTCAATTATAAGCAGATGATAATGTCTGGTCGTGGCCTCACTGGTGTTAGCCATTAGCTTGTCAGACTTGTCAGAGCAAAACTATTTCTCTAAACTGAGGTCGTGCAAAGAACTTTGCAGGTTTTATTTTCAGACCATTTGTTACACAAATTGCATCTAAAGAAACAAATTTAGAACTATTCATTTTAATTTTTTTTCCAAATCCAAATATAAAAAAATATATTAAATTCAAACATTATTTGGACATGAAAACATATATCCTGAACATAATCATTTGGTTTTATCTCATGTTTGGTCTTATTTCATTAGAAATGGCTCAAATCTGTCAGGTTTGGGTTAATTTTTAAAGATAAAAGTACATTTTCCAGTTGTAACTTGTTTTCATCTTGTACAAAATCCCACTCTTAAATCTTTTTTTAAATGTATTCTACTTTGTTTTATTGGATTTTATATGGTTTTGCACAATTTTATCTCATTTTATCCTTTTTTCTGATATTGTATTTAGAAGTTGGAGTTGTATTTATAGTTTTTATTGAGCACTTGGTCACTTTTAATCATGTTGTGTCTACTGTTATGTCCATGTCAAATGTTTTGTGTTTTCCTTGGAATGAAGCTGACTCACTTTCACTGTAATCAAATTTACCTGTGGGTACAAATAAAGTTGATTGACTGAAAAAAAAACCAGTTATTTTTAACAATATAGAGTTAAAAATAAAACGCCTCTTTACTGACAATAAAAAGTGTGTGTTTTGGTCGCTTGTGTAGATGTCTGTCAGCAGACCTGAAGCCGTGATGGACCTTCAAAGCCACGTCTCTGGTGGTCCATATCTGTCTGGGGTCAACGTATTCCTCTGTCAGGTCTGAGTGTCGGAGTTGCTCCACTCGATCTGCGTGGAAACGTCCTGCCACACATATGGTAATAAAACTCACTTTAACCTGAACCTTAAACCTCTTTTAAATGTTACAAATATCATCACATTTGTTTATTCCCCTCCAAAAAGATGTTATTAATCCATCCATCTATCCATTCATTCATCCAACCGTCCATCCATCCATCCACCTGTTCATCCATCCATCCAGAGTCGGGTCTCGGGTGCAGCAACTTGATCAGGGTGGTCCAGACTTCTCTTTCCACAGCCACCTCCTGCCTGCAATCTCCACATCTCACAACCCAAAGTTTGTGGCAATAGGTGATGGTCAGAAAGTAGACTGACCGGTAGACAAATAGCTTTGCCTGGCAGCTCAGCTCTATCTTCAGTACAACAGACCAGTACAAAGTCCACAATACTGTGGAAGCTGTACTGTTCTGTCAATTAATCTCTCACTCCAATCTTCCCTCACTTGTTAACAAAACTCCAATATACTTGAACTCCTCCATTTGAGGCAGAACCTCACCCCCAACCCAGAGAGAACAGTGCACCTTTTCCAACTGAGGAACATGGACTCAGATTTGGAGGGGCTGATCCTCATCTCAGCCGCTTCAAACTCAGCTCAAACAGCTCCAGTGAGAGCTGAAGATCACGACATAATGACACCGACAGGATCGCATCATCTGCAAACAGTAGAGATGGAATTCTGAGACCGCTGAACCAGACTCCCTTGCCACCTGGCTGCACCAAGAAATTATGTCCATACAAATTGTGAACAGAACAACAGGAGTCTAACTCCCAACCTGAAGGGGTCTGACTTACTGCCGGCAATACAAATCAAACTCTCACACTGCTTACAGGATGGCCCATAACAACGGACCCAAAACCCCCACTCACAGAGCACCCCACACAGTGTACCTCAAGGAACACGGTTGAGCACGTTCTCCAAGTCCACAAAGCACATGTAGACTGAATTTGCAAACTCCCATGACCCCTCGAGGACCCAAGTGAGGGTAAAGAGCTGGTCCAGTGTTTGATGGCCAGGAAAAAACCAGCATTGTTCCTCCTGAATTGGAGGTTCGGCCATCGATTGGCCTCTCTCTTTTCTGAACACATTCAATAGTTTATGTGGAAATTCAAACTACATCAGGAGGCACTTATTTTTCATCTCATGGTTGCAGAACAAAAAAAAAAAACCATTATGAATTTCAGAGTATAACTCCTAATGACTAAAACTGTGAGCTGCATTCATCCCAGCCTCTCTGACTGGGTTTGGAGGTGATTTCACTCACTGTTCCTCTCCACAAAGACTTTTCCGACTGGCTGGCTGTGTCCATGTGGGGCGGAGAACAGGGAATGTTGTGGGATGGGCGACTGAGTTTCAGAGACGATGTCATCATCTTCAGCTCCCAGGTCACTGCTGTGATGCTCGGCCAACTTCGACTTCCTGAAAGTCACAGGGCAAGAAGAATTCGTTTCAACTAAAGACAGCTGTTCATAAAAGACTCATGTAAGATGGCTGTGGAGAATTGATTCTGATCATCTTTCAATAAACCAGCTCTGCACATACAGTATTTACAACACTTGCTTTTTCTTTTTAGTCTTCCTGGTGACAGCCACAGTCAGTTCCTCTCTGTCCACCATGGGCTCAGCAGAGTTACCATTTGGCACTTCAGCATGCTCTGTTTCCTGGTCTAAAGGCACAAAACAAGAGCAAATTCATCCATTCTAACTTTCACTGCAATTTCATTTAGATTCAACACTGCACATTGACTCAAAGTCAAAGCACTTTTCTTCTATCTGTTCATTGTAAAAACATAAGTATCTGCTTCTTGTCTGAGATAAGTGGTTGTGTGAACATTTTGAGGCTCATCTGGCTCCATACTCTTTAAGTACATTTACAATGGTAGAATGGAGCAAAGTACACTGTAAAAAATGAAATGTTGGATTTACTTAACCATGTTATGCTACCTGGTTCCACTTAACTGAGTTGAGTAAATTCAAAGCAATATACCAGTTTTTTAGCCAAAGAACATGAGTATGTTGCTTTGAATTTACTCAACTCAGTTAAGTGGAACCAGGTAACATAACATGGTTAAGTAAACCCAACATTTCATTTTTAGAGTGTAGAGCCCTGCTTGTCCTCAATAATGAGAGCGTTGCTCCAGTCTTTTGTGGTGAAGGAGGAGAAGCTCTAGATTTACTGGTGTGTCTATGTTCCAACTCTCACTTGGTTTGGATCTTTACTGAAAGAATTAGATCCCAGATACAGGTGCCTGAAACAAGCTTCCTCTGTTGGGTGACTCAGCCTAGAGGTATGGTGGTTGTTAGGGAGGAGGCTGCTCTTTCTGACCAAAATAAACAAAACCTTTGAGTTAGATCATTGTCCACAAATCTGTAAAAGTAACACTTAAAAATTCTTCTTGTTTGACAGATTTAATATTTTTTGCAGTTTTTTTAATCAAATTTTTGTGACTTTGCCAATTTGTTCTAGATTGGAACAATACATCTAAAAGTATGTACATATGTACATCAAAAAGTCCAGAAATTTCAGCAAAAAATCTAAATATTTTGCTTTTTTCTATTTAAAAGTATGACTTCAGGACCGTTTTTCTGTTCTGAATATTTGAACAACTTACATGATTTTTTGTTACTTTGTTTGTTATTGTTTTGTACAGAAGTACATTTTAAATTTATTACAGCTTGAATTCTCTCTGTTTTAAGTTACTTTGTAAGTTCTCTAAACTACAATGATCTGAATAAAACAGCTGTTGTATTTTTTTGTGTAAAAGCTGATGAAGTGTAAATACCGATAGTTGAGGCCTTCTTCTTTTTTTTCTTCTTCTGTGGTGCTGGGTCGTGCAGGTCCAGGGTCAGAGGTTCTTTGCTGTCAGAATTGCTCCTGTTGGTCCGGTTCTCCATCTCCACCTCCRTGCCTGCTGCAACAGAGAGGTGAAGAACGGCTTGAGTCAGACAGAACACAGAACCATGTGGAGACGAAGGGTCTCACCTTCTCCCTGCTCCTCTGCATCAATCACCTCATTCTTCACCTTCTTCTTCTTGCTCCTAACCGTCGGCATGGTGACTCTCTCTGTGCAGACAGTCAGAGCTCTCTGATGGCGTAGTAAAAGATGTAAATGAGTAAATGAGGTCAGTAAATAAAGGTTTAAGGAGGATTCCGAGGTGCCGGGTGCTGAGGCCTGATTGAGGTAACTGGATTAGTCCGAGCTCAGAGGACAGGTGGTGGAAAACAGGTCACTTATGCTCTCTGAAACACGAATAAAATCACTTTTATTTAGTTTTACTTTACATGTCAGAGGATGTACAAGAGGATCTACAGTCTGTCAGTACTTATATTTAACATGGATCAGCTGAGTGAAATATCTTTAGAGCAGGTTTGAGCAGCAGTTGAGTCTCGTGGTATTATTGATAAAGTTGTGTGTCATCCGTATAACATGGTGTTCTTTTATAATAACATCTATGTTAGAGTTTTAATTCATTTTAATAATTTTCTATGCTGTGTGCAAAATCACAAATCAACTGTGTGTCTGAACAACAAAGACTAGTGAAGAATTTGAAGTTTCTTTAGATTATTTTGAGTCACTATTAAAGAGAGATGAAGAAGAGTTAAAGGCTTCATTCACACTGCAGGTCTTAATACTCAATTCCGATTATTTTTGAAAAAATCTGATCTTTTGGTGTGAACGTTCACATTACATTTTAAATGTGACCTGCATCAGACTCCAGTGTGAACGCTACACAACACTGATGTAACAAGCATGTGCAGTAAAGACGTGCCGTCWCATCAGCCGGCTTGTTTGTTTACAGAGTTAGCATGGTTGCTACTTTTTGCACGTCGAATCTGAAGTTGATGTTTAATCTCAGAGCCAATTAAATAATTATCTGACATGTTTGTTTAGTTCAGTGTTTACGTATTTCCGAACCTGCCTCTGATTGGGATGCTCCAGTGAAGCTTTTTATTTTTGAACGAACAAGCTGGAGTATCGACTGAGTAACTTTAGGACTGATAGGCTACGTGACCCAGGCTGGACGTAACTATCTACATGGAAAATTAAAAGTAAAAAGACGAACCAAATGGACTTCTGTTTTGGAGCTGTAAACACACGAATCTACAGATTTAAACAGCGTGACTTGAGGTGAGTGTCTTATCGGTCCTTCACCCCCACCTTCCTGATGAAAAAGTCAGATGTAATGCGGCATGAGCGTTCACACTGCAGTCGGTTTGAAAATATCAGATATATATCTGATTTAAAACCACATATTGAAACGGCCTGGGTCGGATTTGAAAAAATCGGATTTGACACATTCAGACTGTCATAAAAAAATCAGATATGGGTCAGATGGGGCAAAAAAAATCAGATTTGGGTCGCATTTGCCTGCAATGTGAATGAACGTAGCCAAAGATTAAATAATATTGTTTTAATAAACAAAGACCAGGGTGTTTATTTTATTAAAGAGTTCCCCTTTGATGTCACCTCCTATTTCATTTTAGCTGAACCAAGTTCAAAAGGAAATAGGTCAGTTATGTGACAAAATTAGTAAAATCATGTGCATTATGCCAATTTTCTTCAGTATATGTTTTCTTTGACTTTTTGTWTGTGAAGGATAGGCATGTCACATTGCCTTTAAGTCTGACATTCACAAGTCACTGTTAAATTTTATTTATATGAAAGGAATTCATATGAAGCTGATCACTTACTGTTTATTTTTATAGTACTGATAAACAAGAGTGTTGTCAGTACATCGAGAAACACAAGTATACACATTTCTAACCCTCCTTTAACATATTTATATGATGATCCATGTTTAGTACTGTTCTTCACCCACAGAGCTGTAATCCATTCAGAAGCTGTTTCGACAGAAAACTCACTGCAGTGAATCAGAGACAGAGTCTGTTCTCACCTGTCGCCTCAGTCGTGGTGGTGAAACCCTGCAGGTGGTTCTGAAATAGCCTCAGAATAAAAACGAACCCGTCCTTTTAAAAATGTTGGAACTCTGAAGATGATCTCTGACCTCGTTAAGAATCTTGACGTCTAAACAAGAAAGGAGGAGTTGAAGTGAAGCAGAGAAGACACAGCTTTCACACCCCTCTGAGGATTTCCAGAGACAGGCAGGTGGATCATGTGCTGAGCCGGGAAAAGCCCTGCCAGCTTTGTGATTGGCTGATGAGATGTTGTCTGCATGCAATGCTACAAACCAGTCATGGATGCTTACAATCCATTTAATGTTCGTTATTTTCCCCTGAAGACTCATTCATATACAGTTGAGTCATCAAGACACAGAAGATGTTTGGGCTCATTGTCCCGTTGGACCCAGCGTGGTCCAACTGTTGGACAGAGGGTCTCACATCTGACTCTAGAACCCTTTGGTCTACAGAGGACTTCACTCAATGAGCCCAAATCATCAGCCCTCCACCACCATGCTGACAGTTGGGAGGAGCTGTTTGTTGCAGTGCATAATGCGTAAACTTTGTCAGTCTAGATGACGCCGTTCCAATGGTTCATTCAGATGAACTTTGTGATCTTAAATGGAGCTGCCGTTAGGAAGAAGGTCAAGTCGAGTTTTGTCTACCTGTCCTAGCAAAAACTTTAACATGCTAGCTGCTAACCCATAACATGCTGAGGCCTGTAGGCTCTGAGATGGAGCTCTTGAGTTTTTTTCTTTCAGCATTGCACAGTCTGACTTTGAAGTGAATATGCTTAGATATCCACTGGGAAGATTGAAAACTSCCTCTTGTTATTTTAGATAGAGATATCAAATACAATCATCTTTTTAGGCTTTCTGTACCTCCTCACCAATAACGACTTTTCCCCTCTACCCCCACCGCCACCTTTGGTTTACCAAGTTAAAGACTCTGCAGAGATCAGGTCAAATGCATCCAATGAGACCAAACACAGTAGCAGAAAGGCACAGATATGAAATAATGTCACAATGAACTTTTTAGGAAACAGTTGTTTTAGTCCTATATTTTAAATTCAGGCTAAAATTTATAATCTGTTACCTTTTCCTCTCATGAATACTGCAGACTCCACCCACTTCCTGTCATCTGTTTCCTGTTACACTGACCGACTCAGAGCATGTGTTGCTAAACAGACACTAATCCTCCTCATAAAGCCACTGAGCTGCATCTGTCCTGCACAAGATTAACCTGTAAACACAGACGTCCACACCGAGTGTCCACATAGTGCCCACACTAAGTGCCCACCCCGAGTGTCATGTCCACACTGAATGTCCTGAACAGGATTAACCTGCAAACAAGCTTATGTACAATTGAAGATACTGTAGATCATAACATTGAGCAGAAATCTTTACCTAAGTAATGAACAAGAGGAAAACTAAAACATAAACATTGAAAGCCACGTAAACAATCAAAACAGAATAAAATGCAGTGAAATTTTAAATATTAACTGGAGCCACATTAAAAGAAAATCAAATCAAAAGCCAAGTCATTAAGACACACAGTAAACGGTGGTTTTGTTTTGGCAAATCTAGACTTGTCAACAAAGCATTTGACCAAAATAAACAAATTATTTATAAGAAACTCATTTGTTTTGTCCTCCATTATAACAGCAAATTTAACCATTTTATAATTTAAAATGGGTATTTCTAAATAGTTTATTCTCCCCCAATTACAAAAATGATCCAAAAATATTTTTAAATATATGCAAGAAAAGAAAAGCTGTTCCTCTGTTTCTATGTCTAGGTTGCAAAAAGTACATTAATTATCCCCAATATTAAATTTGGAGTTCAAAAAAATCACCACAGGGATAAAAATTGTTYATTGTTTTAAAATGTACTTATTTTGCTTTGGGTGGGACAGGAAACTTAAGAAAGTTACCTCTAATCTTTCTTATATTTGTAAAAGTGAATTCTTTCATCAAACTGTCTTTTTTGGGGCAGATGGAAAATATTTTTGGCAATATTATGTGTTTCTCAGGCATATATTTAAATTCTATACCATAATAAAGTAACTATGTCACCTTCAGTTATTAAAATGCTGTTTTTATGTTTAAATAGAAAATAAACTTGACTTCTCATCATATCCATTTCTAAATGCCTTGAAATTGGCCTCTGTCTTTTAAGAACCTCATTCAGCTTCTGTCCCACCCATTTCTGCACAAGGGTGTGGGTGTGTGGATGTGTGCTCTGTGATGAGGAAGCTCAGCTTGAAGACACAGCCCAGAGGAGGAGCTGGTCCCAAAAGGCGGTTCTAGTCCCAACCGGTTGTTTCTGCTCCCCTGCCTCTCTGCCTCAGGACACTACAGGATTTCTCAAACATGCATGAAAGAGTCAAAGCAAGACTCTGGGCATGTTTTTGATGAGAGGATAACATTATAACATGATATAAAACTCAAAAAAGTTGATTTTACATGATATAGCTCCTTTAAAGCAGATCTAAAGAACTTTCTATTTTGAATAAAGAGTATTGTCGAGGTATTATGTCTGTATAGAATTAAAGAAATTTATTGGGGTTTGCTTATATACTGATTTTAATGACACTACACATGGTATATTTTATTTAGAACAGCAATATCTTTTATAATGTGATTATTTGTTTAACTTGATGATTTTATGTAGATGCATGCTTGAACACAGATTCAACACATAACTGAACCGTTGATCTTCCTTAGGTCAGAAAATATTGACTGAAGACATGACTTGAGCAATGTTAGGGACCCCATCCTGATGATGCAATAAAATACTCATGTCCTGAAGATCCTGTTATATTGAACTGACTTCTGGAAAACGGGGCCTGAACGCAGACTGAGAATTAAATACTGCCTTCAGCCAGAGCTGCTCTGTGGTGGCTTTGTATGAACTCTTTTCTATTGGTACATTTTCTGTGTGGCTCAAGCACATAAAATTGTAAATGAACACGCTTAACAATTTTCTTTCATAATAATGACCCTTTTATACTGCAATAGCTCTTGGGATCGCACTAAGCACATCATTGCATTTCTGACTAGCACAGGTGAGATTATATTTACTCCTAAAATCCGCAAAGTCCAGAAAGTTACCTCTGCTGTCCATTAAATGTAATATAGACCATATTCCCTGTTCTGACCAGTAAAAAGGACTTATTTTTAATTAGTATATATCTATTGTTCCATAAGTGAGTATTGTGAGGGGAGAAGTTATATTTGTAGATCATTTTCCAATAAAGGAGGACATTTTCATGAAACTTGGATAATTTAACAGGTAATTTAGTTATTTCAAAATCACATTTTAACAGAAACTCAATGCCACCATATTTTGAAAAAATATTTGAAGGGAGAGTGTGCCAAAAGTTTTGAAGATGCTCAATAAAGTTTTGTAGCCATCTCAATTTTATAGCTCTGTTTATTGGATCAAAGGCAATAGCATTTAGACCAACTTCATCTAATGATTTAACATAATTTTTCCTAATAAAATTAGGTCTATTTCTCTAAATAAAATTATAATTATTTTGATTGATTAATTTAATTGTATTCTGAGGTATACTGAGAGAATCTGCGGGTTAAATAGTCCTCGAAAGACCTTCCATTTTAGATAAAAGGATTCTACCAAAAATTGACAAATCTCTCGGTAACCAAATTTTCATCTGGGCTTTACTTATAGTCAATATATTATCAAAGTTACTTTTTTCTCCATACTCTATCTTTGGATAAATTGATGCCTAAATATTTGACATTGTCTTTGACAGGTATATCCTATAATAATGCTTGTGGATGGTCATGGATTGCTATTAATTCACATTTACTTAAATTTAGGTGTAAACCTGAGGTACTGTATCTGTGTCATGATCTGTGTGTCTTTGCTTTAGTTTTCTAGTGTTTCAGTGTTCCCGTGTATTTCTGTCCTGCTCCAGCCCCGCCTATGCTCACCTGTTTCCTCTTGTGTCTCCTCCAGGTGTTTCTTGTTGTTCTTAATTTGTTTGCCTTTATATTCTGTGTCCTGAGTTCAGTCTGCATTGGATCATTTGTTTTTGTGCTGTTTCCCTCAGCCTGTGTGATTCTATCTGTATCTGCTGAGATTTTGGTAAGTTTTGGAGCTGTTTTTGAGTTTGTTATTAAAACCTTTTTGCCATTTGGATTTTTGCCTGCACCATGGATTTTCCCTGCCTGGATCTCACATAATGATCCTACCAAGTTCCCAGCCTGCAGGCAAGACATTTTCTTGTTTTGATCATAAGGAATTGTTGGAGAACCTGCAGCAGCAACAGAGACAGCTGGATGGGCTGGCGGCTCATTTCTCTTGGGTCTGCCCATTGAGAGCAGCACCGCCTGGTAATTCTGCCCCCCCTCCTGGGTCAACTGAGTCTACTGGGTCACCTGAGTCTTCAAGGTCTGCTGAAAAACCTGAATCTGTTCCCATGTCTTCTGAGTTTCCTGAGTTGGTGGTTCCAGTCCCTGTTCCAGAGTTGGTGGTCTCAGTGTCTCCTGAGTTGGCGGTCATCAGCTCAGTCACATGTGTTTGCCATCGTTGACACGGCTCCACGTCTGTTCCAGTTGGGCCTTGCTGTGGATGGTCACCTGCCCCGTGTTGGATGGTCTTCGGGCCGTCCCACTGAACTGTGTGTTTTTGTCCTTGTGCTCCTTTGTGTTGTGTCCTTGTTTCCCCGAGTCTTGTCCCTCTCCTTTTTTTGATGTCTGGAGTCGTCATTGACGGGAGGGTCCTGTCATGATCTGTGTGTCTTTGCTTTAGTTTTCTAGTGTTTCTGTGTTCTCCTGTGTATCTCTGCCCTGCTCCCTGCCCATGTTCACCTGTTTCCTCTTGTGTCTCCTCCAGGTGTTTCTTGTTGTCCTTAATTTGTTTGCCTTTATATCCTGTGTCCTGTGTTCAGTCTGCGTCGGATTGAAGAAATTTATTGGTTTAGGTACTGATTTGAATTACACACACATAGTATAGTCTTATGATAGAACTGTAAAGGTTGTTAAATGTGACTGTTTTGCTTAACTTGATTTTATGTAGGTATATGTAGATACTGTACACGCCTGAACACAAATTCAACACAGAACTAATGGTTTTTCGTTGTGAGTACAGTATTATTTGTTGTCTGGAGGCGTGGCCCCTATAGAGTAGAAACCACTTCCTGATGACATGATAAAATAGGCAGGCAGTGGCA